TTGGTCCTTTTTTGATGATTTCTGTCTCTTTGTTGATGTTTTCTATTTGGTGAGACATCATTCTCATACTTTTCTTTAGTTTGTTTGACGTGGTTACCTTTAGTTTCCTTGGACATATTTCAGCTGATTCAGAGTCTTTTTCTAGTAATTACAATGTCTGGGCTTCCTCAGAAAGAATTTCTATTGACCACTTTTTTTTCCTGTGTAGGGGTCATAGCTTCTTGTTTATTTGCATTTCTCATAATTCTTTAGTGGAAAACTTGGCTTTTCAGATAATGTAATATAGCAGCACTGGAAACCAGTTTCACGCCTTCGCCAGGGGGACTGTTGTTGTTATTGCCGTTTGTCCTGTTCTCTGAAGTTTCTGTTAAGTCTGTTCACTTTGTCCTATGTGGCCACGTATGTTTCTGATGAAATTGTGGTGAGCTAATGTTTGGACAGAGATTTCTTAAACCCCTGAGGCCAGTAAGTCCTTTGTCTTTGCCAAGGGGCTACGGGAAGGTGTTGGGGCGTACCTGTGATATTCGGTCTCACAGATGAGAAGCCTGCTTTAACCTTCACTTCCTGCCTACACAGAGGTGAGTGCATGGGACCTGCCAGGTCTTTCCTGACGTGAGCGTCGCCCCACATGTGTGCCTGGCTTCTAGAATCTCAAGAATATGGTGGAGCTTTTATTTTCTCTTTCTGTTTTTAAATGGAAGTGAAATTCGCATAACATACAATGAACCATCCAGAAGTGTACAATTCAGTGGCATTTAGTGTATTCACAGTGTGTGCAACCACCACCTCTCTCGAGCTTCAAAATGTTTCCATCACCCCAGGAAAACACCCTGTGCCCAGTAACTAATAACTCTCCACTCCTCTCTCCTCCCGTCTCCTGATAGTCGCTAACCTCCTTTCTATTTCTGTGGAATGGCCTGTTCCAGATATATCACAGAAAAGGGATCACACAACATGTGACATTTTGCGTCTGTCCTTTCACTTAGCACAATGTTTTCAGTTTCATCTAAGCTATCGCGTGTGTCAGGATTGTGTTCCTTTTTATGGTTGAATAATAGTCCCTGTTGTAGATCGTGATTTGTTGGTCCCTTGATTCGTTGCTGCGCATTTGGGTTGTTTCCACCACTTGGCCATCAGGTGTAATGCTGCCGTAACCATTGTGTGCAAGTTTCTGTGTGGACGTATGTTTTCACTTCTTGGGAGATGCCTAGGACGGAGTTTCTGGGTCACGTGGTAACTCTGTTTAGAGTTTAATGGCAGCTGCACCATTTTTCATCCCCACCAGCAGTGCATGAGGGTTCCTTTTTCTCCACATCTTCTTGTTCTTTTCAGTTTTCTGGGCTTTTTTTTTTTCCTTGGTAACAGCCATCCTTACAGGTGTGAAGTGGAGTCCCGCTGTGGTTTTGATTTGCATTTCTTAGTGACCAATGGTGTTGAATATATTTTTGTGTGCTTCTTGGCCATTTGTATATCTTCCTGGAAGAAATGTCCATTCAGGTCCATTTTAAAATCATTGTTGTAGCTTTTCAAAGCCCACTATGGACATCTCACCCCCAGCTTTTCCTCCTAAGCTTTCTGGTTAGCTTCTAACCAGATAGTTAGAAGCTAACCAAATGTTTGTCCCAAATAGTCTCCACTGCCACAAGCAGCCAGTTTTTAAACAGACGTCTGTGGGGAAGAGGTGCTCAGCTGTGCGAGCTCTGAGTCAAGTCAGAAGAGAAGATGGTTGTGGGTGGCGCCTCCCAGGGGCTCAGCTCTCTGGGAAGGAGCTCCAGCCCTGCTCTCCTGTGAGGTGCAGGCTGCTGGTTTTAAGTTACCAAAGGGCTGTGGGAGTGGTCGATGGGAACATGGCAAGTTAAACACCATGAAGCTTGCTGTTCTTACAAAGAAGCAGGCATTTTTCTTGATTAAACCACACTCAGATTAGTACAAGAATTTTGCTAATTTCCAGAGTTCTGAAAAGTTTTAATTTTACAAGTTTTGCCACTGTCCTCACTGCTCTTACAGCAGAGAGGCTTGGGGAGGAGGAAATGGTTTACTTTACCATTCTTGCTAAAATCACCCAATATGCATTTTTGACTAAGTACTTTCACCTTCAAATAACACTCCACTGCTTCACAGGCCGTGCAGGGACCTCATAACAGAGCGTTGCCCATTCCTCCCTCCCACCCTTAGAACCGCCGTCATTCATGCCTTAGCCATATGCTGTAATAACCGACCACGTCGTCGGTATTGTCACTATGACCCAACAGTTATTCTTACTTCTCATTCAGTTAAGAATAAGAAATAGAATATTTTATTTCACCTTCATTTATTCCTTCTCTGATGCACTTTCTTAATGGAGATCAGATTTCTAAGCTATATAGTTTTATTTCTTTTCTTTTCTTTTTTTTTCCCCGGGGAAAGATTCTCCCTGAGCTAACATCTGTTGCCAGTCTTCCTCTTTTTTTTTTTCCTCCATGTAGTCCCAGCGCATGGTTGGATATCCTAGTTGTAGGTTCTTCTAGTTCTTCTATGTGAGCTGCCACCACAGCATGGCTACTGACAGACAGGTGGTGTGGTTCCACGACCAGGAAGTGAACCCATCTGCCGAAGTGGTGAGAGCACCAAACTTCAACCACAGGCCATCAGGGCTGGCTCTATGTAGTTTTATTTCTGTTTGAGAAACTTCTTTTAACATTTCTTACGGGGTAGGTCTGCTGACAAACGAATTCTCTGTTTTTGTTTGTTTGAGAAAATCTATTTCTCCTTCACTTTCATGGAATAATTTCACTAGATATAGAATTCCGGATAGGTGGGCTTCCTCCTTCTTTCGACATTGTCACTATTTCACTTCACTGCTTGCCAGAACGGCTTCAGACGTGACATTTGATGTAATTCTTATCTTTGATTTTCTATAGATTAGGTTTTTTATCTATAGATTGGTTTTTTAATCTGACTTTCTTCAATATTTTTAGCACTCTGAATATGATATGCCTTGGTGTGGGTTTTTTCCATCATGAACTATTCTGTTGGTAATGTTTTTTCCCTTACAGTCTGCCTTGTTCAGTATAATATAAATGTACCAGCAATCTTTTGGTTAATGTTTTGTGGTGTATCATTTCTGTTTCATACAATCCAACTTTTTCTATCTTTATGTCAAAGTTTGTATCTTATAAGGAGAACAAAGGTCTTTATTTTAAATCAACTCTAGAATTAATTAATTTAATTTCAGTTTAATAACTTAAATCTGGTTGAACTTTCTTTTCTCCATTGTGCATTCCCGTTACCCTTTTCATACTTTCTTTGAGTAGACACTTCATTATTCCACTTTTGTTTTATTGATAATACATGTGCATACTTTTCCTGTACTGTTAATGCTTAAACTACAGATTACACCATGTAGTTCAGATTTATTAAATTCCAATATATATTAGTTATGCAAATATTTCCTTAGAAATAAAGGTAACTTAGAAATTTTAAACCTTGTCACCTGACCAACTTCACCTTATCTTATTTTCTTTGAATTTTAATTCTAGTTATGCACTTGCTGTTCATATTCAATTCATATGCAATTCGAATTCTCCTAATTCATTTTCTGAGTTCTTACTTGATAGCCGAGTATTGAGTGACATCTCTCTGTTTATCTAGCTATCTAGCTATTGTTATCTTTCATTATTGATTTCCAGATTAATCCTGCTCCAATCATGGAACATACTATGAATTATTTAAATATTTGAAATTGTTTAATATTTGCTTTACATTTAGTGAATGCATGATTGTAAAACTTCCAAGAACATTTCAAATGTATCATATATTTATAATAAGCACACCCATGTATGTTCGAGATATGTATGTCTCAAACACTGCATCCTATGCATACGTATGTAGAGGGGAGTGTTTGTAGAGTCAATTAGGTCAATTTTTTTTGTTGTTTTATTCAGATGTCCTACATTATTACTGAATTTTTAAATGTTTTTTTCTATCACATTGGTTCTATCAGCGTCTGAGGGATTTGTGTAATGTTTAAATGTGTTAAATACTTACACTATGTTCATGGTTTTGTCCATTTCTAGCTCTGTTCCTTTTCAATGTACATGTTGAAGTTACAGATCTAGACTTTAAAAAGAAGACTTCATCAGTTCACATTTAATATAATTACTGATATTTTGGGGTTATAGTCCTCTTTATGTTCTACCTTTTCGTGTTTTAACTGCTGTTGCATTTTATCCTCTGTTTGCAAACGTGTTTTTAGCTGGTTCTTGCCCACTAAGGCCACGTCACGAAAGCCTCGGTAGCACAGGAAGATGAGTGTTGACTTCTGGCTCCCTGTGCTGCGGGTCAGTTGTCACGGCTTCGCCTCAGGGTTGGCACTGGCCGGGGGCAAGCCACCTTCCTAAAGCACGTTCGTGGCTCTGGCAGAGTTGCAAGAGGGCAAACCCCACATGCCAACATGTTTCAAGACTCTGCTGACTTCACACTCACTGATTTTTCCATTGGCCAAGAAGTGTCCCATAACCAGGCCTCAAGTCCAGGGCAGAATGCCCAACAAGGCGCACAGGCCGGCAGGCGCGGGCCAGCTGCTCACCAGCTCACTTGAGCCCCTAGTGTCTGCTTGTCTTCTTGTCCCGTGGTCCTGTCATTGCCCATGTCCAGTGATCACTGAATGAATGTGACTTGGCTGTGTAAACCCCCGTGGGCGCTTCCTTTCCCCAGAGTGGGTCTGTTCTTTGCTCCACGCCACCATCTGGAGTGACACCAGTCTGAGACTGAGGTGCATGTGGTCAGGATCAGGACCCTGCAGGTTCATCCGCTTCCGGCCAGTGTGTTCCTGCAGCTGTGTCCTCAGGCGCCTGGGTGGGCCCTGAGCCCTGACTGGCCTCCTGCGTTCCAGAGGAGGCCTTCTGTCACATCCTTCACCTCCAACCTGTGGAGCCTCTAGGTGCACTTGAATGGGATCATGACCACTCTCTCAAGACACTCTGTCCTTCACGTTGACAGAAGCTTATATTCTGGAAGCGTGGTGGAGGATCAGTCAGAAATAAAATCGTGGGGGTACAGAAAAGAGTCTTCTAGAGACAGGGTTTTATTTTGTGACATTTTAGGCTGTGACGTGTGGATTTGTTTGAGTAATTTTTTTCATTACAGCACTGACTGATGCATAGATCAACTAATCCTAAGTCAATAGAAAAACTATGTGATGGGAAGCATTTCTTTTACTTTCTTTCTTTCTTTTCCTTTCTTTTTTTTTTTTGTGCTATTTCTTTCTTTTTTTTTTTTAAATTGAGGTATAATTGACAGGTAACATTATATTAGTTTCAAGTACAACATAATGATTTTATATTTGTATACATTGCAAAATGATCACCACAATAAGTCTAGTTAATATCTGTCACCATACATAGTTACAGAATTTTTTTTCTTGTGATGAGAACTTTTAAGATTTACTCTCTTAGCAATTTTCAAATATACAATACAGTTCTACTAACTATAGTCACTATGCTGTACATTACGTCCCCAGGACTTATCTATTTTATAACTGGAATCTTGTACCTTTTGACTCCTTTCACCCGTTTCCCCCACCCCACTCCGTGCCTCTGGCGACCACCAATCTGTTCTCTGCATCTATAAGCTTGGTTTTGTTTGTTTGTTTTGTTTTTTAAATTCCACATATAAGTGAGATCATACAGCGTTGGACTTATTTCACTCAGCATAATGTCCTCAAGGTCCATCCATGTTGTTGTAAATGGCAAGATTTCATACGTTTTTATGGCTGAATAATATTCCATTGCATATATAGACCACATCGTCTGTATCCATTTGTCCATTGATGGACACTTAGGTTATTTCCATATGTTGGCTATTGTAAATAACGCTGCAATGAACATGGGAGTGCATATTTCTTTTCAAATTAGTATTTTCATTTTCTTCACGAAAACTAAATTTCTGTGATGTCTCCAGGTAGGAAAGCAGCTGAGGCCATGGGACAACTTCTAAGGAGTGGCTGGGTTAAGGGAGCAGCTTACCGCCCAGCCACAACCTGGGCCATGCTCAGGCCCCTGGCTAGGGTAGGGGCAGGAGTGGCTAGGGGATCCTTCAAGCCTCAGACAGGACCAACATGGGCCAGGCAAAGGCCCAAGAGATAAGCAGAGGAGTGATCCAGACACCACAGCAACCTCCCAGGGCCCTCCTCCATCCCTGCCCTCACACCTGGAGTGCCCAGCCTCTGTGTGTCCAGGACTGAGGGCCAGGAGACAGTGCTCATGGGCATGGAAGTCTTATCAGCAACATCAAGTCAGGCTGAATTTAGTGCTGTCTACTTAAAAGGCAAATTTGTCCATTATTTTATCCTCAAAATGAGTTTATTCGGGAATAGCCAAAAGAATTGCAATCCAGGATGCTCATGCTATGGCAAACCGCAGGCAAATCCCGAGAACAAAGGAGATGAGCTGCTTTTATAGAGAAAAGGGGGAGTAGAGAGAGGCTGTTCTTAAAGAAAGTCCACTGGGGGAGAGAAACAGTTCAGGGTGGCAGTGCCTTCTCATTGGCTGAGCTGTGGAGGCTTTTCTTTGTTTTTTTTTTTTTTAATTTTGAAGTACATCCTTTTTTTTTTTTTTGAGGAAGATTGGCCCTGAGCTCACATCTTTTGCCAATCTTCCTCCTTTTTTCCTTTTTTCTCCCCAAAGCATCAGCAGGTAGTTGTATGTCATAGTCATACATCCTTCTAGCTCTTCTATGTGGGACACTGCTTCAGTGTGGCTTGACGAGTGGTGTATAGGTCTGTGCCCAGAATCCAAACTGGTGAACCCCAGGTCTCTGAAGCAGAGAGCACGAACTTAACCACTACACCACTGGGCCAGCCCCTGCAGAGGCTTCTCATTGGCTGGGTTGTTGCCGGGTGGGGAGAGAATCTTCCCTCAGTAGTGAAGTAGTTGCACTTCCTGCCAAGATGCAAGTGTCCCTCTCTTCCTGTTTGGTGACATTGATGATGTGTGATGGGGTGAGCGCCCCCCCGGCAGGCCTTCCCCATCCGGTGTAGTTGATGTTTCTTTATTAATTTCCACAGTGCAGAAAAGACTCATGCTGGCTCAGATCAGAGGTGAGAGAAACAAGGGTCAACATTTGAATTAGTCCAGCCTTGAAGGCCTGGGAGAGCTTCAGCCATCCTCCTCGTGGGATCTGGATGCAATCTGAAGGAGGATCCCTCCAGGATGGTGGTCCACAGGGGACCCAACAGTAACTGGGAGAATGGGAACGTCTGGGCTTCTGCTGCTGCCCAACCTTTCTGTGAGGAGAACAAGGGTGTTTTCCCAGGGTTTTCTCGGGGTGTGGGAGGGGACTCAGTTGCTAGAATTTGGGGTATTTCCCATTCCATTGGGCCTTGAGATGAAGCTGGCTTCTGGCGTGCTCTCCTCCTGTGTGCTTCAGCTGAGCTGGCAGAATCAGACACCAGGGGAGCATTTTAATCCTTCTACCCTTTGTGGAAATTAATGAAAGAAACATTAACTAAACTGGATGGGGAAGGTCTGCAGTGGGAGCTCTCGTGCCCATCACACATCATCAATGTCACCAAACAGGAAGAGAGGGACACTTGCATCTCAGACAGGAAGTACAACTACTTTACTACTCAGGGAAGATTCTCTCTCCACCCGGCAACAGCCCAGCCAATGAGAAGCCCTGCAGCTCAGCCAATGAGAAGCCGCTGCCACCATGACCTGTTACTCTCTGCCAATGGACTTTCCTTTAGAACAGTCCCTCCCTCTCCCCTCTTTACTCTGTAAAGGCAGCTCATCTCTTTTGTTTGTTGGATTTGGCTATGGTTCGCCATGGCATGCGCATCTGGAATTACAATTCTTTTGGCTATTCCCGAATAAACTCATTCTGAGATAAAACAGGCAAATTTCCTTTTTAAGTTGACATCTTCCAGGTTCTTCTGGCTGCTCTAAGAATTCAATTGACATGACACAGATTAAGAGGAGGAAATCAAATTTAATTTCATATGTATGGGGGCCTCATAAGAAAAATGAGACCCAAAGAAGTGACCAAAGCAGGCAGCTTTTGTACCTTTTGGACAAAGAAACAATAAACTTGTGAAGAACTGACAAGACAAACCCTTGGGTACTAATTAATGAAGAAACTAAGCAGAGTTTGTTTTGTGAAAATTAATAAAGGGAAACCTCATTTAAAATGGAGTCAGGAGGCCAACAGGGGGAGGTGCCACGCAGTGCCACTCTCAGTCAATTACAGGAAAGAATGTGGATTACAGACAGAAATGTACATGGCATCCCAAACAGAACTCGAGGACCCCAGCAACTCAGCCAGTGAGAAACCATCACCACCCTGAACTCCTGCTTTTCTCCAATGGATTTTCATTCAAAACAACCCCTCCCAATTTCCTCTTTTTTCCCTATAAAATAACGTTCCTCTCCTTTGATTGTTGTATTGGCTTATGGTCTGTGATAGCATGCATATTCCGAATTGCAATTCTTTGGCTATTCCTGAGTAAACTCATTTTGCTGGTAAACAAACTGGCTGTTGTATTTTTAAGGTTGACACCCCCATTGGTGGGAAGGCTGCAGGGGACCTGACTCAGGGGGGACCTGACTCGGGGAGTCCACAGTTCACGCTGCAGAGAAAGCCCCAGCAGTCCCTGCTCTTCAGGAGGAGGAGAAATCCCTGCCCTGACCTGGAAATCAGCTCCCTCACCTAGTTCTGTCGTGGCCTCCAGATGTGTGGGCACCTGGGGGTGCTCCAGGGCAGACCCTGCCCACAACCAGCCGGGCAGGTGCAGTGGGAGCTGGGGAGGCCATAGCTTCCCCATCCTCCCCTGTGCACCCAGACCCCAGCTGTGGATTCTCCACACCCCTCAGCCACACCCTGTTACCTGTCCTCAAAAGCAGTGCCCTAACTCCAAGAGGTGGCTGGAGGGTTGGGGACGTCCGGGGAAACGTGGGAGCACACGGGGGACATCCCTTATCCCCGGTGGTCCCACCTGTGGGAGCAGGAAGGGGGGCAGGTCCATGGAAGGTGGGTCTTGGGGGATGGGATGTTGACAGACCCGCCCCTCTGGGGCCGGGGACTCACTGCGCCAGGGGGAGGGCCCACGGCGCCCCCTGCCGACGGACAGCGCAGACCCGCGACGAGTCACCCCAACCCCAGCCCCGGTGGACAGGAGGAGCCCGCATTCTCCTGTGGCGCAGCCTCATGAAGGGCACTCAGCATTGGGCCTAACCCCATCTGAGCTTCCGTGACCTGGGATGAGGGTCCTGCTAGGGGGCGACCCTCTCGCGCAGCCCACAAAGAGCCCCTGATCCCGAGCTTTTGAAAAGTTGCAGGTGAGGCCTGAGGCATCATGCAGGCGCAATTGCAGGTCAGCGGGAAGGTCCTGGGTGCTGACCACTGGGCTCTCAAGGGCCCAGCAGGGAGCAGCCTTAGTCCTCGAAGCCGCACCGCCAGCTGTGGTTCCGAAATGGGTGGGCAGGGCGCCATGAGTCGCCTGGGGGTGGGCGGGTCTTGGGTGCTGCGAGCTGGGGAGGAGGGGAGGTGGGCGGGGTGGGCACATGGGCGGGGCCTGCTGTGGGCCGGGCGGGCTGTGGGCGGGGCCGGATAGGTGGGCGGGGCGGACAGGTGCCGGGCTGCAGAGGTGAGCCTCGTTCCTAGAAGTCATTTCCAAACAGCACTCGGAGAGAATATTCTCTTTCCGCTTTGCCTGCGGTGAGCCTGGAGGCAGACGGCCGGGCCGGACTCCTGAAGATGCACAGCACATGTTTGTCCCGAGGGGGGCCGAGAGCAGAGAGGACAGATGTGCTCCTGAGCGGAGGATGATCTGGCCCGCCGTGTCCACCGGAGCCAGGGTCGGGGTTACTGGACCCGGGTCTGGCTGTCTTCAGGCAGGAGACACCGTGAGCCCCTCCCCCGTCGGAGCGAGTTCTTCCCAAACTCAGAGGGGCCGGTGGCCAGTGTGCCCTCCTCCAGGACCCGCCTTTCGGGAGCCTGTGCCCCATCGTGCCCCCACACGCGGGACGCTAGGGAGAGCGTCACCCCGAGCACACCCAAGGCCCATCCTGGGGACTCCGCCCAACAGCTGTCTCCTGGAGTTAGGCCGCTGATTTTCGGGGCACATAACGGGGGTGTGGGTGAGATATGGAGGGGACCCTGGCAGACCAGCCCCACTGGATCTGGGAAGGACGCACTCGGAGGCGGAAGGGCCCGCGGTGCCCCTTCCCGGCCGACAGTGCAGACTCGGGTCCGGTGACGCCCACCCTGGCCCCAGTGGACAGGAGGGCCCCCATTCCCCGAGGGCAGCCATCATGAAGAGCGGTAACACAGCACTGTCACATAAAGTTGAGCTTTATTGAGTACAGGTGTAGACAGGTCTGTCTGTGCAAACTGCTGTAGAAAGGGGTGGGGGTAAAGGGGCAGGGCCAACAGCCCCAGGATGCGGGGCCAGCAGGGACGGTGGGGATGGGGCCATGCCATGGGCAGCTAGAAGTAGCCTCTGCCCTCCTGCATGGACTTTAAACTTGTAGGAAAATTATCATGCAGACAACTCCCACGATGAAGCCAATGTTCAGAATGATGCCCAAGACTAGGGCCCAGATGTTCAGGCACTTGGCAGTGGACGCATAGCTCTGGGCCCCAGTCATGTCGCCCACCATCTTCCGGTCCCTAGACTGGGGGAGAAGAGAGGTGAAAGGGACCTGGAAGGGTGCTGGTGAGAGCCAGGTGCTACGACTCACGTCCTCCCCTGGCTGGTCCCTGTCCAGAGCAGCCTCCACCTGCCCTTCACCCACATGGGGAGCCGCCATCCCCGGCCCCTGAGCCTGAGCAGGACAGTGCCTGATGGGCCCCCTCCCTGCTTGGGCCTCCATCTCCTTCCTCACAGCCTCAGCCTCTCCACGAGGCCTCAGACTCCTCCTCCCTCTGCTCTGGCCTCTTCGCTGGCCACACACCCCACCAGGGTCACAGTCTTTGTGTGTGTGAGGAAGATTAGCCCTGAGCTAACATCCGATGCCAGTCCTCTTGTTTTTTGCCAAGGAAGATTGGCCCTGGGCTAACGTCCCTGCCCATTTTCTTCTACTTTAGATGGGATGCCGCCACAGTGTAGCCTGACAAGCGGGGTGGCGGTGAGCGTCCCCCAGGATCCTAACCTGTGAACCCCAGGCTGCTCAAGTGGAGCGCGCGCTCTTAACCGCTGCACCACCAGGCCGGCCCCGGGTCAGAGTCTTCTGAGTACCTTTTCCTTTAACTGGAGCAGACTTGAGGTCTGAATTCGAAGTGTGAAGCATGTAATTTCGCTAACTAGTCTGGGAAGGAGAACTTGGGGATTAGGGAGACATAGGCTTCCCCAGCCATCCCCATGCAGCCTCGCCCTGTTCCCTCACTGGGAGATCCCCCAGCCACACACACACACACACACACACACACACACACACACAATATGAGACACACACCCAAGGCCTCCCCACACCTCAAGCGCCATCTCTACAGGCTCGCTCACACACACTTTCTGGAGAATCCCCCATGCACCCACCCACCTTCACGGAGTAGGCATATGCCACGAAGCCCAGGCAGCACCAGTTCATGAAGATGGTGTTGAACAGGGACCAGACGACGTGGTCGGGCACAGAGATCTCGGTGGGGATGTTGATCACAGTGGTCGTCAGGGGAGCTGAGCTCTGGGGCTCCCCCAGCACGGACACCCCATGCTCCTCCTTGAGCATTTCATAGGTCGGGGGGACACCGGCGCGGGTGCCACTGACGAAAGTCTGGAAAGTGCGGTTCATGGCGCCGGGACAGAGCAGCTGTGGTCGGGATTCCGGATGGTGCTCAGTGGGCCGTCTCTTTCCCCAGTAGTTGCTGTTTCTCAGAAGTTTCTATTTCCTGGCTTTGGGAAATTGGGAACTGGCTGCGCACCAGGAGGGCGGAACAAATAACTGAGTGTCAAGTTACTCTGGGGCAGGGTGGGAGGAAGGGCTGTGGTCTGAGGAGGGGCTTCCTTTCCCAGGCACTCAGGTCTGGTCCTGGTCCTGCTGACCCACTTCCTCATTTAGGGGAGTGGGTGGGCCCTGGGGACTTTTCCCCAGCCTGGAAGTCACCCACGCTTTCCCCCACTCAGCCCCAAGCCTGCTGCAGCCCCCCACTGTCCCCAGGCAGGGCCCCCACCAGGCCCTCATTCAGACTCCACACTGAAGGCCCAGAGGGCGTCCCCTGCCCCCAGAGCCCACACCTGGGCTGTCACAGGCCTCATCTCTGAAATCCCTTGTCCTTTCCTGGCTCTGAGTCCATGCTCCAGGTGGGGTTGGGTGTTTCCTGGTTGCAGGTCAGGACCCAGCAGCCTGTGTTGCCTGCCCCCGAGGAGCCTTCCAGGCCCTCTCACCAGGGTCCCCCAGGAACAAGAACACTGGGCGCTCTGTGAGGTGAGGAGGCGGCTGTGAGGGGAGACAGGACGACTCGGGGGCATTTGGCAGCAGCTCCAGAGCACAGGGCCAGCATCTCTGTGCAACCTCACCCCCCTCCTCCCTCCTGTGCCCCATCATTTCCCATGGGTGTTGTTGGGGTGGCGACAGGAGGAAGCTCCAGCGTTGGCAGGATGGCTCCTGGGCTGGAAGGCCTGTGCCCCCTTCTCCAGGAGAGGGTCAGGTCAGCTCAGTAGCCAGGACACAGCTCCATTTAAGACAGAAGGATCAGGTTGTTCTCATTGTTGTCTGCAGTCCTCACCAGAGGACCAGGCTGTAGGAGGCTGATGGCCAGGCCTGCACTGTCCTGTTAGGAGCTGTTGCCTTTACCTGCTGGCCCCGTTGTGTCATGGCTCCCAGACCAGCCTCCAGCTGCCCCAGTGGCTCTCACACCACCTAGAGGTCTGGGTCTCCCACTCTGGGGCCTCCTCCAGGTCTCCAGGTTCTGATCATTTCCACCCTTTCCCTGGGTTCCCCTCAAGGGTGTGCAGGGAATTTGATACCCCAAAATGTGTCTCTTTACCTTGATTATTTTTCAGAACAAAAGTCTCTGAAAGAAACTTTGACCTCCCCCCAACTGCCTAAAAGAATTTAAGATAGAAGGCCTGTTCCAGGAAGGAGTTAATAACATGAGATAACTATGGTATAATGTAAAACGGGTGTGCTAGAAAGACACCAGCAAGCCCATTTTTATCAAAATCCTGTCTCTCAGGTCACATTGTCTATAGATGGCCCAGTGAACACTTATTTAACAAACATTTGCACTTCCATCTCCATGTAAATTGTCTTCCTCCTCCTCTGAAGTCCCCAGCCACTGCCCCCAACATCCTCTTTTGTCTTTAGCTAAAGATGGTATTTAAGGTGGTGGCTTCAGCCGTTCTGGCGAGTTACCTAGTTTTCCTGGGCTTCTCCCATGTATACATGTTATTAAACTTTGATTTTCTCCTGTTATTCTCTCTTGTCAATTTAATTCTTAGACCAGCCAGAAGGACCTAGGGGGTAGAGGGCTTATCTTGCTCCCCTACAGTTTGGCGACTTGGACGGGATAAAACTTCACTGGCTGGACGCTGCTGGCTCCTGGACCACTGCAGCTGAGAGATCCTGGACCCCTAACAAGAGCCAGCAGGAGGTAAAAGTTCTTACCATGTCAGTTTCCCAGATCTCTACCCCCAGGGTCCAGTGGAAGCGAGAATGGTGAGTTTCTTCCTTTTCTACATTTAGATTAGCTGGAGAAAATGTTGGTGAAGCTAGCTTCTTGCACTCAGCAAGTCTGGGAAATTTGGTCTGAGTACTCATTGGTTTATTGCTCCTTCTCCTCCCAGAGATGGTCACTATTTTTCCTTGTCGCTGTCCTTTGTGTCATTTGTCATAAAAAGGGAAAACCGTAGGGCAAGACACAGACGCAGCTATAGGCCTGCTGTCTGGGAACATGTGCATGACGTGAAAGCCATTGCCAAGGGCATCTTGGAAGCCAAAAAGGCCGCACATTTGGTGGGCACGAGTTGACTCGTTAAGAGCCATTAGGGCGCTTGCCACCTCAAAAGACTCCCAGGATAGGATAAGTTGGTGCTGGAATAGGATAGATGACACAGGTCCCCCACCAACATCAAGAAAATGTCCATGCAACAAGATACTCTAAAGCACACACAATCCCCAACCCCGTGGCACCTCTCTTCTAGGTATTGATCTGGTGCCAAGAGACCCAAAGCTCAGCTAAAGCTGTTAATGTGCATGTAAGGTGAGGTTTCTCCTTTTGTCTTGTTCTGTCTTGAGAGCTGGGCTTTGTGGCTTTTCTGGTCTCCGCCCTCCAGGGGACGCACCTACCACATGCAGCTTGGCGGCCAGTTGCATAGACTGGGGTACCGAGACGCACTCTCTTTGTCTGGCTGTGTTGGCTCTAGGGCAGTTTGACACAAGGGGTTCTGGTAGCTTTCATTAGGGGCCTTTGTTGTCTCAACCTTCGTTCCTTGTTAATGCTGGCACCTTACTGCCTGTGCAATGAAGGCCTCTGCTTTCTTAGACTATTTCTGGGAGGGAACTTTCTGGATCTTGTGAGTGCTGCTTCTTTTGCACTCTCTTTTGGGATGCCTCGTGCATCCACGGTTAAGCCATAAAAAAGGCTTATTGGTTTGAGTTGCTATTAAGATCCTACTCATCAATGTGGGCAGATGATGGATCATTTCAATTGGAAAAATCTCCCAAATTTGAAAATAAAATTTTGAGAGCTCTTGTCATAATTGTTTTATTGGTACCTATGAAAAGACCAAATTAAAAAGGAAATACAAAAAAAATAATGACCAGCCTTAAGACCCTGACTCAGGCTACAATTAAATTGAGAAAATGTAAAACTATAAGTGTTCATAAGATTATAAAGCTTGGAATGTTTGAGCTAATTTTATATAAAAAGGTTATATCAACTTTGCCTGAGTGTGGTTTGTTTGTTTGCTTGTTTGTTTGTTTTTTGAGGAAGATTGGCCCTGCACTAACATCTGTTGCCAATCTTCCTCTTTGTCTTTTTTCTCCCCAAAGCTGCAGTACCTAGTTGTGTATCATAGCTGTGGAGTTGTAGCTCTTCTATGTGGGACACCACCTCAGCTTGTGGGCTTGATGAGCGGTGAGTAGGTCCGTACCCAGGATCTGAACCAGTGAACCCTGGGCCACCGAAGCAGAACGCGAGAACTTAACCACTACACCACAGGGCCAGCTCTGCTGAGTGTGTTTTGAAAATGTCTGGCTGGGAATGCTTCCCCTATCCAATATTATAAGACTGAGACCCTTGATAACATCCTATTGAAAGCTATGTTTAGAAGTATAAGGGTTGATGGAATTAAGTGATTGCATCTCTTTTCCATGATTGTATTATAGATTGTATTGTGGGGATAGACACTGTGTCTCACTGGGGAACTTTCCCCTGCCTGGTGGGAGGACAGCATATAAATCTGCCCTTCAGACAACATTAATTAAACATATTAAAGGGAAGTCAATAGGATTGCCTGAGCCCACACAGTATGAGATAAAAACTAGAGGCTAATATCAGGTGCTAATGAAAAAGATAATAAAAGCCTCCCCCCCATGGTAAATTGGTCTAGGGTTAAATTGTACACTTAGAAAGAAGGCCTTTGTTAAATGCTTTGTGTAGACTTTTAAAGGTGTGATACATTGTCTTAAAGTTTTAAAACAGTAGCCGTGGAGTCTGCGTGTGTGTGTGTGTGTGTGTGTGCGTGTGTGTGTCTATATGTATGTTATATATGTGTGATATTTTATCCCTGGATGGTATGGCCAAAATTAAGAACTCTGTATAGTTGGCTTAAAGTAAGCGCTTACATAAATTACTTCTAAATGTTGTAGAAACCAACCCAAGTGTCATTCAAGTTAATGTGATGTAAAATAATCTTTGGTAAATGAAAGCTGGTCTAAATTTGTTGGTTTGATTACAACAGGCATGTCTTCAGAGTTATCAGCATTGGATATGATGCTGACATGCAGCCTTTATCAGTCAAATAAGCTCATGGTCTCTGTTACAAATCTGTCAGCAAAACAATAGCTTAAAATGATAAGCTGACTTTGTCTAATGTCTCATGAAGTTTTTTTAGGGAATCTAAACATAATTATTGGACACAAGTAAACTGAATAGATGTAAGAAAGATAAAATTTTGGGGGTCAACTTTTTAACAACAATTACGTATTATGGTATATGTACTTAACAACTTTTTGGTAACCTGAAACTTTGAAGTTTTGCTAGGTTTAATTAAATGACTGAAATTTTATTGAATATCTAGATCATTACCAAGTAAGATGAAATATTAGACATTAATTACTAAATACAGGTTTGTGTACTTTTGGCTTCTTATTACAGAGAAACCAAAAGATATTTGGGTCTATTAGTAAACATGTCCTGTGTTTCATTAAAAGGATTGCACTATGAAGTAGCATGTTTCTAGAAATTATAAAAAGTATTTATAAATTTGCCAAGCCACAGAATGCTAATGTAAAAGACACTTTATAATTGCTTACTTCTTAGTTTTCACCAAAAATTAAAATTTCTAAGGGTTAAAAATTCTATTTAATATATGTGATTAAAGCTACTAAAATTAAAAGGGAAATATCTTTGTATTCAAGGAAAGTAAGATGTATGTTTTCAGTACAGAAGGTATAAGAAATAAAGATATTTTTGTTTGTTAAAAAAGGTTATAGAAGGTTTATTGGAGAAAAGCTCTGAGAAAGGAATTCTGTACATGGTCAAGGTGGCTAAGATTAAAATGAATTCAATTAAGTGAACAAATTTTAATGTCAAAAGTAAGCTGGTGCAAGATTAGAATTTGTTTTTTTTCCCCTCTCTTAAAAGGATAATTTTCATAAACTTTTAGTCTGCTCTTGATAAAGAGATTATGAAAGAGAAATGATAGAGAGATTTTTCTTTGAGTAGTCTACTGGAAGGGTACAGATTTTATGTTTTATCAAAATAAATTTGCTGTATTGTTTTTATCCGGTCTTTAATCACAGGACAGCTATTTAATTTTCTGCATTTGCCTGAGAATCTTTAATTGTCACCATGGTTAAATGGATAACTAAGCATTGTTTCATAGGGACCTATGATATTGTGTAGGTAAATGTTATCAATATAAGTGTTTTAAAAATTATATAACATCCCTCCTCCAAAAAAAGAAGAAAAAAAATTATATAACATCCCTAAAATTCTGATCTGTGCTAGTTGTCAGTCATAATTCTAGTTCTGCTTTTGCAAATATGTTTCATCTTCAGAGAGATTCATGGAAAGGACTCTGACATTTACTCTAGATTACAGGTTTCTGATAAACTTTCAGATCATAAAACTGAATGGGGTAAGAAGTTACAGAACTCTAATGGAAAAACTGATGACTTCATGAAACTGCTAACAGAAGATCAAGAGTTGGTTAAACATGGGACTAAATGAACTGATGAGGATGATTATAACTCTTATGACATTTTGTTTGAAATAGTGATATTTTTTAATGTTATGTTCTTTCAGATTTAAGGAAATCTTTTTCTCTTTTCTCTTAAGCTAACTATAACTTATAACAATTGGATAAATTATACTTTCATAAGGGGAATTGAAGCATTTATATTTTTCTCCCTACCTAATCCCTCCAGGATTTGAAAACTCTTGGTGAGGAAATATTCTTATTTTCATGGCAATATAGCTGTTTTTACGTAAGTTCAATAAGAATTTGTTCTCCTTATAACAGGACAAAATTGAAAATGTTGGTTATATTACCAAAGCTTTGACTGGAATCTCATATTTGAGAGAAACATACATAGACCTGGATATAACTGAGCTTTAAGAAACAAGGATTGGACTTTAGGGAATAAAGCCGCTTGGAAATATTGGACTGGTATTTTGCTTACAGGGTTCCCAGCAAGCTTTCCAAGTGGGTAAAGAAGGTCACTTCCCTGGCAGGTACAAGGAACCTCAGGATGTTTTGGGGGAACCTCAAGAGAAGAGAGGAATTCACCCAAATCTATAGGTATTACAGGCAGAGTCTGATGACAAGTCCTTCTGGCTTTCCTGGCCTCCAGAGGCCTTTACAATTCAATCTGAGATTCCTTATAAAAAGTCCCAGCAAAGCA